TTGCTCTCCTTAAAACTTGTTTTTTACTTTTTTCTTTTTTTGGAGTAAGGATGAGCATCTTCTAAATGTTTAGAAGACTAGAAGACATATATATAGACATATATATATATATATATATATATATATATATATATATATATATAATATGTTAATATCCCTGCTCAGTTTTCTATTGGTTGTCTTCTTTTCCTTACTGATTTTTTTAAGCTCCTTATATATTAAGAAAACCAGGCCTCTGTCTATCTTATGCATTGCAAATATTTTTGCTAGTTAAATGCTTGGCTTATCATATACAGAAAGTTTTCATTCTTATGGGTTCAAATTGTTCATTGTTTTTCTTTTATGGTTTCTGAGATTTTTTTTGTAATGATGAGAAAAACATTCTCTATTCCATCTTTCTTTAAATGTCATCCTCTCATTCTTTTATCCAATACTTTCATAATTGCATCTTTAAACTTAAATTTTTAATTCAGATAGAATTTATTTTGATGAAAGGCAATAAGACGTCACGGATGTCTGTCTACTCACGGCCCCAGCACAATTCATTGAGTTACCCATTATTCGCCTCTTTGCTTTAAAATGATACTTTTTTTTAACCATAAATTAAAATCTGTACATAGTTATATTTTGGGGGTGAGGGGGTGGCAAGATTCTCTAGTCTGTTTCATTGAGCCTATCTGTTGTAGTGTTAATCAAAACTTTTTAAATTATTGTGATATTATAATTTATTATCTGTTGAGGCTTATCCCATTCACTGTCATTTTTAATAGATATTTTTACATGTTTATATTCTATGTAAACTTTAGAAACATTGGTTTGAAAAAAAATTAATGTTGGTATTTTTATTGAGTTCGGTTTAATTCCCAGATTTATAGATTTTGGGAATCTTACCTTTATACTGTTTATTTTTATTTTTTTTTAGTCAACAGAAGTCTCTCTGTTTACTTATTTATGTCTTTTATTCCTTCAAGCATATAACATAACTTTCTAACTGATTTTTCATTGCATGAAAGAAAACTATTGTTTTTTAGTCACTCAACTCTAGTTAAAAGAGCTCTATAGTTAATTATGTTTGATTTCCCATGTATACAAACATATCATTTACACATGATAATTTTGCTTTCAATTTTTATAATTCTATATTCTTCCTCTTGTCTCATTGCATAGGCCAGTAAATCCATGACAGTGTTCCTTCACTGGCTTTCTTTGTCCAATACCTTCCATCCTGAAAATTTCCTCCATTTATTGACAGATAAAAAAGGTTCTTTTTCATCTATTGCTTAAAAAGGGGGGGGGGGTGTAGGGCAAGGTGTAAAAGCAGCTTGATAAACTCCATAGCAAAGGGTTAGAAAAAAGTCCTTCAGGAGAGGCCCACGGTCCCAGTAATAGATGGGAAAACTGGAGCTTGGGGAGGAGTCGGGGGCCACCCCGCCCCCAGCCCACGTCGGTGCCACCGGCAGAGATGAAATGTGAGCCCCGCGGTGGCCCGGGACTCAGAAGCTGCCGCTTCTTTCGCTGCACGAGCGCCACCGAGAGAGACAAAGAGACCTCGGCGCCAGCCCTGCCCGGGGGGCTCCCCTCGCAGGCTTCCGGGGCAATGGCTCGGTCTCCGCGCGACCCCCCTCTCGGGAGCGCAGCTGTCTCCGTCTGACCGCCTCCATCCCCTTCCCGTTCCGGGCTCTCCTTCACTCCCAGCCCTGGCTCGGCTCTAGTCTCTCTGTCTGTCTGTCTGTCCCAGCGCGCAACCTCCGGCCACCGGCTTGGATGGACGAGCGGAGGCTGCCCGTGTGTCCAGGGGTCTTGCTTTCGAAGTTGGTCATGTTCTTTGTCTACGCAGGTCAGTGACATCGGCGGCGGGAGAAGGGAAAAGACTTGGGGCTGCGTTTGGGTCACACTCGGGGCGACGCGGTCAGGGCGGGACACCCTGGGACCTTTGGAGGAGCGCAAAGATCGGGTGGTCCCCGCGGGGCACGTAACCCTCGGCTCGATCTCCACGCGGTTTTGTACTGTTCCTCGCCTTTAACGTTCCCTTTTTACCTCTCTTTTCCTTTCTCCCTCCGCAAAGCAACGTGAAAACCTCAATCCCACATTTAGGGAATTTTACTGTCTGGATAGCGTAAAATTTGTCCAGCCGTATCCAAGACTCAGGAATCTGGGCGAGAGGGCGGAAGCTAAGGAGTGTGCGGAAAGCGTTTTCACAAAGCACCTGAAGTTTAGAGGTTATCGCTGAAGTTTTAAAATAAACTAACGGGGTGACTTCTCCACTTCAGTATAGGTTACTCACTGCCCCTCCACCCCCAGAGCATTAGACCTTTGTTTTTATTTTTTGGAAGATGATTCTCAAGTGTGGTAGACTGGGCAACGGGATGCTTTGAGGTCAAACATAAGGATTTTGAGAGGCATGAATTCACCCAGAGTCTAATGTGTTCCTTGATTTAGTTAAGCACATGTTTATTGGTGAATGGCATCTTATTTCCTTTCTCTTAATTACTCTTAGTGAGAATTGCTAATAATTGATGGAGCAAAGCAGTTTTCTTGTTTTGTGATTAATATGGAGGCCAATGATGTGGTCTCCCATTGGTTATTCTTGTATAAAGTTAATTACACATGTGGGTTTGCATCTGTTTCTTATTCACAAAACAGGCTAAAAAGCAAAGCTCTTTGCAAAATGTTTTCATGTCTCTAATTCCATATAATTCCTTGCAATGCTAAATTTATGTGTAGTACTGTGATTTACCTTTTCTTATTTACAAAGATACTACAAGTGAAATGAAGACGTTCTTCAACATTGTTATCTGAACAGCAAAAGAACTGAGTTTCTCTTTCATCCTTGCCAGAAATGAGTCCCAATAATTTTTATAGAAATTGTCAATCTGTTTGTTAAAATGCAAACTAGTGGTTTCTATAAGTTGTTTTAAAGCTATTTTATTGCAGGGAAAATGCTGACATTCAAATGCAGAAATTCATAAAAGTGGGAAAAGCACTTCCTATTTAATGAGGAGAACCCACGTTCTGATCTGTTTACACTTATTCCTTTTACTTAAATCATACAAGGTTTTCAGCGCTTGAGGGACTGACAAGATCAATCACGTTACTATTAGTTTTATATTAAACTCTCTTTAACAGTTTGGTTGAAGCAATGGTAATTTTTTCCACCTCCTCTGTTTATCAAAAGACTACAAAAATAAGAAAATAGAACACAGCAAATAAAACTTTAATACCCTGACTTGCCCTTACTCAACCAAACCATTGAACAACTTATTCTGTTGTCTGTTTTATCCCTTGTGGTCAACACTAAGCTTCTCATTTGCATGCTTTTCCTAACCTTCCTCTTCCTCCTCTAGTGCTCGGTTCACAACCCCCCAGAGTTCAGGAAACCCACAAGGTTGGCCAGCGGAAAGGTGGGTTAGTTTAGAAAGTATCCTCTCCATTCATTTCTTTTCTCTTTCCGCTTCCCTCCTCGGTAAACTACAAAGTATGTAATCTCATGCCAATAATACTATGCCGACCAACTGTCTTTCATACGAAGCTTACTGTCTCTGATAACAAATGTTTATCTAATGTGCTCTTTGGTGTTAATTCCTGAGCTCTTTATTTCAGAGGACTTTTTATGCTTGCTATGCTCATTCAACTAATATTTACGAGAGAGATATGGCGAGTGATATATAGAACAGAGGTCATGCTCTCCATCTTATCTAGGAGGTAAAGTGGGCCCATTACTCTGTATGTGTCCTAGGAGAGGTACCATCATGTGCCTGCCGTAGGTGTTCAAAGGAGGGGGTACCTTATTGCTGGCTTAGGAATGTAAGATAATGTCTGTTTTGCTCAGAGACTTATCAAACACCTGGCCAGTACATGGAACTCAGTAAATATTTGCTCAGAAAAATTGAATTGAGGAAGGCTTTTAAACTAGACCTTTGCAGGATATAGGAGGTGGAGTAGGACATAGGGTGAACAAAGGCAAAACCCAGGAGATGTCATGTGTGAAAATAGATCATACAGTTTGGTCAGAACTAAGAGATACGGTTGAAAGTGAGGATTAGGGTGAGATGGGAGAACACTGCAGAAATAAAAATAGTTCAGACACCCTGTTCAAAGAATCACCAGCTTCAGTGGGACAGAAACCGAAGGAGATGCGCTGTCCATAACCTGAATTATTTTCCCCAAAGCAAGTGCATGAAATTCGTGTTCCCTTTGTTAAGGAAATAAGAGCAAGGTTCCTATACCTGAAGCATCATGTTGCGGAGTCACTTTGGGAAAGAGACCCATTGAAGTGTTTATATTATGATCCGCTCCCACTTGTAGGCCACAAAGACAGGATTTGGCCAAGGTTCTGCCCTCCCGGCCTCACCAGTGACTTCTGTCCCCTCCCTTTCCTTCCTCTCTTATCCTCAGCTTACAAGAACCATTTGTGAGCAAGTGCTTGGAGCCAGATGCTGCTTTTCCTGTACTGTGTATTCCTTGTGGTGGGGCAAGGAGAGGGAGCCTTCCTCCAGTTCATGCCTTTCATTAAAGCCATTGAAGAACGTTCGAACAAGCTAATTGTCAAGGGTATTAACTTGAATGTTAGAAGTAATATTATTGATTTTCTGAAGACCGTCGGGACGTTCCATTCCTTTACAAGGGGAAAAACGCTTCTGGATCATCCAAACTCTGATTTTCATAGAATTATTCTCAAAGAAACTGACATCACAATAAGCTCTGAGGTGTGGTTGAAACCTCAGTTTGGAAATGTGATAGTGGATCTACTGGCAATGCTATTAAATCTGCCTTTTTCAGTTATTTAATTCTTGGAAATAGACAAAAGCACTGGAAAATGCCATAAAAATAATGAACAGTGTGTGTGACACGATCTCTAGATGTTTGCTGCAGGTAAAATCCAGCTTCTTGGCTACAAGATTTGGGGCTTGGTTTCCTGTAACATTGGCTCAGAATATTTGATAACACCATGTCCTTATAATAATAGTAATGGGCGTACAAAAGTAGTAATTGAATCTTTAATATTCATGGAGCGCTTAATAAGATATCACTGTCCTGGGCTCATTTAAAAGGCACCTCATGCCTACTTACACACTGGTTGTCTGTCCTGCTTCCACAGAATGAGTGGGGACATCAGCTCCCCCACTATCGGAATGCCTTTTATAGCATTTAAAAGCATGAAGCTAAACTAACATCCCTGCTAAGTGCTTGAGATAACTGACCACTTTAAATATTTGAATTAATTAAACAGCACAAAAAATGAAAGCTATAGACATTCACTGGGAAAATGATAAAATAAATAGCCTGAGAAAGCGTTATGCACTCTGCAAAAAGCATACACTGTCAATAAATCATTAGATTGTGTTTCTGTCTTCAAAATTTACAAGTAGATTTAAGTAGAGTTACTGCTTCTTACAGAGGTAATTATTTTCCCCTCTCTTTTCTTCTTACCACATCCCAGAAGAAAGCATTAAGGTTTATTAATTTATGAGGTAGAAATAAAATTAAGGGAAGAAAATATGGACTTGTTCTACAAAGGCCATGCATTATTGATAAAGGTGAATGAATTTTGCTACTTTTTGATCATATATTTTTGTAAAAAAATAATCTTGGCAGGGAGGTGATTTAAAAGCAAAATCTAAATTTTCCTTTCTAAATAAATAAATTGCATCGACATGTAAGTAAATACAACTTCTGTACTTTTGCTATTACTTTAATGAGAAAGCAAAAGTCTTATATAATTTAGATAACAGTTGCCATTACCTTCAGAGATTGAGTTGGAAATGCTTATTTTGTGATTCTTGAACATGTAACTTAAATTATCAGACTATACTTAATATTTCCCTAATTGTGTACCATTATAACTTATACCACTGATTATAACTAAATGGTAACCTTAACTTGTTAAACATTAGTTATTTGGGTGGAATAAAGAATTTTTAAAAGCCAGGGTAATTTTTATCAACATTTTTGGTATAATTTTCCCATATAACATATGGGGAAAAAAAGACAATAATTTGGTTTTGTGAGCTCCAACATGTCTTTTTTAAAATCTGAAAAGATCTTTCCCCATTCACATACTTATTGACTCTTAAATCTGACATTAAATAAATTCTTAATTATTCACAAGTTAATTATCTAGGGGAACTTCTTATCTGCGAATCCAAATGTACTGACAGAATATGCAGACTCATTTGTGTTACCACATGTAGGCAAACTGTGGTTTTCAAGGTAAAAAATGGGAGAGGAAGAAAAGCATATAATACATTGTCATGAAAAAATATACATTTTAAAAAATGATCGGCTGTTGACATTATTCATGTCAATAATACTTTTCCACTAAATGAAGTTGAGAGTCAAATCCAAAAGACTTTATCATTTAAAAATTATCATAAGAACTCAGTTGACAAATTGAATGACCGATGAGTTGGATCATTCATCTCTGCCTTCATTGTCCATTCAACTCTGACTATCAATTACGATGCTTGATGCAGGAGAGTCAAAGAATGGTCTTTGCCTTTTCTAGCTTTAAGTCTAATAGGGAAGGAATACTAGTTTAGATGTTTACAGATGAGTCTAAGTACGTAAAATGAAAATCTAAATGCACTAGAGAGTGGTTGTTGCCCAGATAAGGTATGAAATGGAGTAATGTTTCATGAAGCTGTGATTTCAGAACTGTAATTGGATGTATGTGGTTTTTATTTTGCAGACGATTGCCTTGCTCAGTGTGGCAAAGACTGCAGATCTTACTGCTGTGATGGGACCACGCCCTACTGTTGCTCCTACTACGCCTATATTGGGAACATCCTCTCGTGAGTATCCGTCAAATTCGACAATATCACTTCTCTTTCCCTTGCCCAGTTATGTTTTAAAAAAGTACTAAGTTATAGGTATAGGAAAGAAATTTTAAGAGTGGCTATTGACATAAAATCTCTACTAGAGATACTAAATACTCATCACTATCTAGTATGTTATATTATTTGACAAAATGTGCAAATTAATATACAAAATAACTTGCCTTTATTAGAAGGAAGTTAAAATAAATATCCATTTATTGCTTATATAATAACAATGTTCTATTGCTTTATAATAATAATGTTTCAAGTAGACCATATTCATATTATTGATCTTTTTGAGCATTGTAAATTGTTTTTTGTCTGCTTTGTTGGAGGATTTATAAGTTAGAATTTCTCATTTAATGATTGCCAGTTTATTTTACCAGTATTTGTCTAACTCATCCAGTAGATATCAGAGAAAAGATACATTATGAATAAAAAAGCAGTTGAGATATGGTATGTCAATTCTCTACATAATGCAAATAAAGTGTCAGGAAACAAGTTTGGGACCCAAGATAGGCTAGGCATCAGCAATGTAAAGGCATACCTAACTACCAAAAGCAATGAGCCAATACACTTAGAATATGTTAAGCATTTCTCCAGAACAAATTATTTATTTTAGAGATGCTTCTGGGCAAAGGGACACGGAGAAGCAGGACCTGCCGTCAGGGTCGCATGGCTATAAAATGTACACCTCTCAGGTCCTCTCCTCAGACCTTCAAGTGGAGAAATTAAAGGCAGAGAATTAGGAACATAAGAATGTTCTGAGCCAAAAATCACTGGTGGCTTTCAGAGAGTGGCAAGAGTCTAGCCTCTGTTCTCCTTACTTTTTGTTTTTCAAGTGAACCTAAGGGTGGTTTGGGAACTGTCCTGTTGTGGCTTAGCTCAGGCCTTAAGGCTTAAGCGGAACCAGGAACGATTAGGCACTAAACCACGTCCACTGAGACACCTTATAACTCATTCTTCATTTCCTGAGAATAGAAAACCTGGTACGATATAAACTTTCTCGAATCAAAGCTGAGGCTGAGATTAGAGGCCATGTCAGGATACTCTTGCAGACTATCACGACTATGTAAGAAATGCCAGGCTCTACTAAAGATTGATGAATGGATCTTAAGCAGTCTTTGAAATGCTAATAAACTCTAAATAAAATGTTTGCATTTGCTCTTATGGAAGATTTGGTGGAAAAGAAACGAAGTCTTTTCCTTTTAGAGCACAAGGGTCAGAGTGATATTTACAGGAATTAATCGGCTCAGAGTACCCTGAATACAAATATATAATGATGTTTCACATTGTTTATCACTTCACACTTTTCAAGTACTTTAAAATACATTAGGACTAAATTCCAATTTTATTTCTAGTGGTCTCCCCATGGCAGGTGCTGCTGCTCCAGGTAGATGTGCCAGTGGGCCCAGCAGGTGGTATAGAATAAGGAAACTGACATCACAGTGATTTGTGATTCTTTGATCCTCTGCTCCTGACCCATTGCCCTGTCCACTACTGACATCGTGGTGTGGGTTGTGCCATTATTTCTCACCTTACAGCCACCTCTACCCTGGGAAATAGATGTACAGGACATAAATTACTTATTAGCCATAAAACTTAAAAAATTTAAATTTACAGGTGTGCTTTATATGTTTTATATTTGAAATCAGATTCACATTTTTATGGTACATATTCCAAGCCTTTAACTAATGTCACTATTTGGTTAAAGTAAAGAATTAGTTGAGTTGATATATGTCTCTGGGTTATTATACTTGTAATGTTTGAACAAAAATAACTGTGTTGATTGGGGAAAATAAACACAGATGGTATTATATTTCAGGCAGTTAAAACTGAATTTTCTGTTCCAAATAGAAATTACTAAGTAAATCCATTGGTAAACAATTTCTAGGTGGAAGAAAGAAGGTGGGGTTAACGTGTTTTCCCTACTGGATAAAGTAGAATACATTTTCAGGATTTCCAGTTATTGTTTAAGATTTGAAAAGAGTTAGTTCTTAACTCCACCCAAAGCTTTTTTTTTTTTTTTTAAGTTGGGTGGGGGATTGAGACAAAAAGAAAACCATTCCAACAATGCTTACGAAAGTTCTTTCATGCACATATTTTCGGATATTGCTATTTTGGATCTCATAAACTATACTTCCTCTTTTCCAAGCATCCAGGCACATTTTTAGTAAAGTAATTTTAATCATCTTAACAGAATCCTAAATGTTTGTGGTTATCAGGAAAGTAATAAGAAAGAAAGCAATAAACACAATAAAATGTTACGTATCCTAAATGAAAAGTTTTATAAACAGGTCATAATTTGGTTTCTATTTTTGTCTGTTTAAAAATGGAAACTATCTTGGCTCAGTTTATGAGCTAAAAAGAGTAAAAAATACAATTTGGATCGTTCTAGGCTGTTCGTAAATGGTAAGGTAAGCTACACTTGATCCTGGTAGCAGAGGCCTCTCCCCTGTCCCCTGCAAAACAATGAGAGGAGACATGTTTATCCCTTAATTCTGTTTATTTCAATTCTTTTTGGGTTTTTTTTTGAAAAGTGACCATTAAGACTCTATTTTGAAGAGATCATAACCAAGAGCTAACTTTCAATTTACCTTTCAGTTGGAAAGTCTTTTTACTTTTTTGATGTTTTACCTGAATATGAGTTAATTTTGACAAATTCAGATTCTCCTCACCCCCTTTCTTTCCTTTTCTGGTTAGGAATTGTAAAATGTTCTCATGTCCCATGAAGCAACTTAAAAAAAAATTAAACTTCTAAAATAGCATATCTACCTTTTTTAATTGAGATGTAATTGACATATAACATTATATTAGTTTCAGGTGTATTAGATAATGATTCGATATTTGTACATATTGCAAAATGACCACCACAATAAGTCTATTTAGCATGTCTATTTAAAATAGCATATCTACTTTTGATCATTATGGTCACAGATGATGACTTCAATGTAGAAAAATATAGTATCATTTTCCAGAATTTAAGGATCATTTCACTGACGTCAACATATATCATGCAATCAATTATTGACAAATACATATTGAGTGCCCATACCAGGGCAGCACTGAGCTAGATCCTGGGACCTCTAGGATCTTGCAATCTAATAAGAGAAGAGAATGTAGACAAATAGTTGTAATTTGATGAACTATTCCATGAAGCGTTATTGGAGAAAACAGCTAAGTTTTTGTGTGGGTTTGTGTGTGTGTGTGTGTGTGTGTGTGTGTGTGTGTATTTAGAAAGCAATGTTTAGAGAAAGCCTCACAAAATGAAATTTGAACAGAGGTTTGAAGGAAGAGTAGATGTTTACAGAAATGGACACTAAAGAAAGGGAATGCATTCCAGACAGAGACTCTGGCTTTTAAAGGCAAAGATGTAAGAAAGGAAATAATCAGTTTGAGAAAATCCATGTTGTTCAGTGTTGCTAAGGAGGTAAGAATACATTTTGAATACAACATACAAATAAGTAGGTAACACAAAAGATGAGTCCTCACTTTTGCATGCTTTCACTGGTAGGTTACATACATTTATGAGTTGTGCCTAACTCAACTGAATCAAAATAATTCAATATTTTTCTGGAAATAAGATAGCTGGTTTTATATAGAAAGGACACATTTTAGAACCCCTGAGACAAAGGGAAAAGGTGACAAGGTGGCAAATGATGATTCTTTTTATTTATTCCATAGAGAAAAGATTTGGAATAAACATTGAGAACCATTTATGACAGGATATGTGACCTTGAAATTTTTCCTACATTTTGGATCACCAGAGTAACTACCTGGAGAGTAGAAGCCTCACTATGTTTGAAAATAAGAATTGGGCCAATTCAAGAAGTAAACAATTTCTCAACAAATTGATTCTAAAACATTTCATTCAGCCACTGTTCTCCATGGAAGATAAACATCTGTGATGAGTATGGAAAGGGATATTTCCATTTTTGCTGTTGATGAAATTGAACTGACATTCCCTAGAGAGAGAGTCCAGTGTAAACATGGGTTTTGTAGAGTAGTCTTTAGAATTGGTATAATACAAGGAAGTAGAGGGTGCAGTTGAATCTCGTTACTGTTAGACTTTCCTGAAAATGAAGGTAAGCTGCTCTGTGAGTAAGAGAATAATTGAACAATACTGAATATGAACCAATAATGACTGAGCTGGACTTAGAGAGCCAGGCGACAAGATGGAAGATTTAATCCTTACTCCAAACAGATTTTGCTTTTCCAGTTTGCCTTTGTAAATGCAGATCTGTCCGGGGGATCTCCAGCGCTCCATCTGGCCAACCCAAAATCCCCACAGGGAAAAATCGAGAGGAAGAACTAATAATGGAAATCCTGGTGGGATTAGGTTTCCTTTCTTCTAAATGAAATGTGAAAGATGTATTGCCCGCGGTTTTGCAAAGACAGCTAATAAATATCACAGCTGTGATTTTAGAGCCGAGTTATACAGAAAAGCAAAACTGAGTGAAAAAATTAAGGTTTCATATTTTCAAATGGCATTTGAGGTCCTATGCTCATTAAGTAGCGGAGCATTCCAAATAAAAGTAAAACACAGCAGGCTATTCAAACACTGACAGAAATATAGTGTATTTTGAAAGGACTTTGGCATTGGTGAAAACATCATTTAAATTAATTAAATTTAAATATTCTTAGTACTTAGATATAGAAGAGACACTTTTGAAGAGTACATACTAAGCAAATCAAAGTTTGTGGGAGTCTTATTTTTGTTTTAGTAATGACACAACGATAAATAACTAATATGATGTTAAAATAAATGTGGCATTGATTTAAAATGTAACAAATTATATTTGATATACAAAGAAAGTCGCTGTTTCTCAGGAGACATGTATTAACATTTTATGCATTATTTTATTAAGAGCAAATATAAATGTGTAGATAGCGAAAACTTTTCTTGGTCAAATCTATATTCTGTTCAATCATAATTAACTTTGTAAATTAAGCTTAATTGTCAGAAACATAATGTA